CAGTGATTTTTGTCCTTGTCCTAGGGAAAGACTGAACAGTGCTTGGATGATGTGTGTTAAGAGTTAACACCGAGAGTGGCAGGAGCTGTGAGACCTAATGAGGGAACCATCTAGAAACACAAGTTGGGGAGGCTATCAAGAAAAAATGAATTCAGAGTAAGAATTAGCCCAAGGGACAGCCAGGAGACAGATTTTCTAGTCTGAAGGTAACAAGACAAAAGGGGCTGTTATTAGGCAGATTCTAATCAGCAGGAGAAATCCATCAGTCTCCACTATATGAAGAACAGCATGATGGACCCAGGAAGTCACAGTTGCATCAATTGTAATGCAGGGCCAGGGACCCTGAAAATAGTGCACAATCCACTGGTGTCTGGGCTGTACCTTGGTAATGCTCTTCCTAGTATTTGTGATTGGAAATTATCTTCCTGGAAGCCTTGATACACTTATTCCCATAATGACGGCTTTGAGGTGCTCTCTGCAGCCAACTTACACACCGCCTCATCCATGGTATTTTGTTACAGTGCCTTGAAAACACTGCAACTCGAATTGACTGGCAATTGCTTAGTGTCTCTTTACTTTCCTGAGTAATCCCGTGTGTGGTTGTTATGGGAAGTCCTCCAGATCACCAGCTCTTTGTATTTGAGCACCTGTAAGTCACCTCGATTTCTAGGCCCTTCTGATCTCCCATTGCAATGTTTTACCCATATATATGCAAACAACTGCCACCTCGTCCTAGATTCTAGTAGAAACGATGATGGCACCAATGACAAAAACAGTGCTTACAGTATGTTGGGCAATGTCCTAAATGACTGACAACTGTTTTACTGATGGACATATTTAACCAAACTCTCCATTTGAAGACAGTGCCCTTTATTGAGCAGCAATTATATAGCATACATCTTAGTATTTTTTTATAGAGTATGTGCAGAGTCCACGTAAATATATGGAGTAGTTTTTATCCCTGTGTTGCAGAAGAAAGTGAAAAACCCTACACTAAATGACTAAATTTACACAGATAGGAAAGTGTATTTAATCTCAGACTTATGTTCACCATTTCAGAGAGCTAACAGCTTGATAGATTTATAAGACCCCACTACATGTGTTATCAGGATCACCAGTGCTAGAGAACATGGCTGGCCTTTGCTTTGTGTCTACTGAAATATTTATGGATGCATTAGTGTACTGAGTGTGTATTATCCCTTGATTTTTCAGGCAGTTTGTATGTACTCTCCAGCTCCTTTTATCCTGCACCTATTACTTAGTGTACTTGAGTACTTGTTTTGTGTAAAAGCCAATGAGATGAGATTGGGGAAATGCACAGCTTTTCGAAAGACATGCAAACAAATGTGACAGTATAATTACAGTTGGAAGTGAGGGGAAGAGTCAGGATCAGAAGGTGGGAGCCACTGCTTGCTTTCGTTAGACATAAGTCATGATCCTGAGAAATACGGCAATTCAACAAAGGCCGGGGAATTGAGCATGAGCATGTGGCTTGTTCAGGGAAACATCACGGGTTCAACAGGGGCTAGTGACAGTGAAGGAGATGAGAGAGACGCCACGGGGCTTCAAGAACAAGGTCACGAGAGAGCCTATAAATCCTGCTTAACGGTGCAGCATTTATACTGCGATATGAGGTAGCTTCAGACGAAGCCTGGTATTTCTCAGTCAGGTAGAATTTATATTAGCAGATGGTAGAGACCACAGCTTCTACTTGTGACAGCTAGTTAACATGATGTGGAGCGGGGGCTGGGGATATAGCTCAGCAGAACAGTTGTATAACACAAGTGAGGCCCTCTGTCTGATACCCAGAACCATACAAGTATTACTGTCCTGGTTAGTTTTTCTTGTCAGCTTGATACAACCAAGAATTAACCAGAGGGAGTCTCCACTGAGGGATTGCCCGTATCAGACTGGTGGGTGGTCATGTCTGTGGGGAATCATCATCATGGATGATTGATACTGGAGGACACAGTCTGCTCTAGGCGGTACTACCCCTGGCAGGTGGTTCTGAGTTATATAATAAGGCTCGTTAAGCATGAGTCAGTAAGCTGCATGTCTCTGGGGTTTCTGCTTCCATTCCTGCCTCTAGGTTCCTGCTCTGAGTTTCTGCACTCAGTGATAGACTGTTGTCTGGAAATATGACTGAAATACGACTTTTCTACACATAAGTTGCTTTTGTTCAGTGATTCATCTCAGCCGCACAAGAGCAAACCAATCCAGTGCCTTTACAAGGCAGAGTTGTGTTGAGTGGAAAATTATCATCTCCTAACACACATCTCTTTAACAAATCTCCAGGGAGTGGGCTCTGTAAGGTGTGGCATCACATTCCAAAGGGTCACCGGTCTCACCCCTTTTACTGTCAGCCCCAAATTCTCAATGGGGGTTGGTTTAAGGCTCTCATCTGAGAGGCTTCTTAACTTGTCCCAGATTATTGCCCTTGCAAGCTACCTCTACCTGGGAGCTTTACCTTCTGTGATGAGGTTGGTATTCACTCCATAAATTAATTCAGTGTGCTCATTCGCCCTTCTTACTATTTCCTAGTCTTTTGTTTTGGAAATCCTCTAGAAATGGAAAATGACTACAGGAAAAGACGTGGGGAAGTTTAAGGACATAGTACTTTAATTCATGTTTTATAATGTAATCTGACACCTGCAAAAATTTGGCTATGTTCTCAGGCAAAGAAACCCCAGCATATGTTTTTTTCTGTCTAATGTTTAGATGATCGCAGAACCTGCCTGTCCTCCAGCAGCCTGGGACATTAGTCCTGGTTCCCTACCCTACCACTATGCCATCTTCCCTGCAGGGATCATCACCCTGCCAAAGGTAGCATATGTCATGGTGACTCAGGAGCCAAACAGAGGATAGGAACAATGCTGTCAATATTTTTGTATTCTCCCTGGATGGCCTTCATTTCACGCCCAGCCATGGATCCTGAGAGTGAGGAGTTGTTCTTTCTAGTACAGAAAGAGAAAAATGTGTTCGTGTTGTCAATGTCGCCCCTTGTCTTGGCTCATTATTTCTTTAAACATGCCTCAATGTGGCTTGGCAATTTTACCTCCTCATGTAACGGAAGTGGAAGCGAAAAGGTACGTGGTGTGCTTTGGTTGTTTGATCTCGGGCTTTCTTAGGCCTTCTGCCTCTCCTCAAGCCGGTTTGAGATAAAAGGGAACCAGATGTTTTCTTGTTAAAGATCAAGGCAATCAGGATGGCAATTCAGGACATGACTGTGATCATCACCGCGGGGAGAAGCGAAGGCCACGTGACATTTTTCTATTAGCCACAGTATGTCAGGTTTATGTAGCTGTCAGAGAGGGTGATTTCATTTCAGGCCCACTAGTGATTTCTTTGTTGTTGTTGTTGCCAGTTTAAAATTCCTGGCACCATCCTCAGCAAACTGAATGAGGCTGTTATTATAAGTGTGCATTCTCATGCTAAGGGAAGCCAATGTTTCAGATGCCGGCTGGGCCCCTCCACTATTCTTTACCAATTGTAGCTTTGCTCAGTTTCAGTACAATAAAGCTGAGGAGGTCCGCCCCCATTTCACAGAAGGAAATTCCAGCTCAGGAAAGGTAAGTGTCTAATATTTGTTAGCTGGGCTTGTAGCTAAGCAGTCAGTAGGGACAGCATAAGAAAGGTGAGCTAAAATTTAAGGGAGAACTCTTCTTTAGTCTTGAAGAGGGCAGGGTTTGCTCCAGCAAGTGTATATCCTATTCTCAACACTGCAAGCTGTCTTCCCTTGGAGCTTGGAGTGCTATTTCTTTTTCCTTTTTTTCTTTTTTTTTTCTTTTTTTTTTGGTTTTTACGAGACAGGGTTTCTCTGTATTGTTTTGGAGGCTGTCGGTCCAGCCTGGCCTCGAACTCACAGAGATCCGCCTGCCTCTGCCTCCCGAGTGCTGGGATTAAAGGCATGTACCACCACCGCCCGGCGGAGTCTTATTTCTTTTACACACTCTCTACCTGACCCTTGGATTGATGACCGCAGCCTGCAAGGAGAAGCAGATGGGCAGCAGGAGGCGTGGTCTATGGGTTCTGAGGGGATCAGCAGACATCCAGTCCAAAGATGGTAGTGTCCTCAGGATACAGTGAGCCGTCCCCATTTGTATTCTTTCCCCTCATGTGCTTCTCAGTCAGTGGTTGGCCTCTGACTTTCTCTAGTATGGATAGGGAACAAGCTTCTGCGTTCCACAGAGACGGTTCCAGAGCATGGCACAGGGGAGTGTGCCTACTCAGTCAGATTTTCTTATTTTATATTGTCGAGTCCATAAATACCCAAATGTGCCTGCTGGTCTCAAAGGTACACTAAAGGCACACATATTTTAAGAGTCCTGGAATGTCTTGGAAAAGGAATTTTAATTGCTCCAGCAAACCAGATAAAGTAGATACAGCCTTCAATACCTGAATACTAGTGAAGAGCTGTGCCTTCCTAAATATCCTCTCCTCTTAAGAGCCTTTAGGACTCTGGGGAGGTTTTAAATAGAGGCACACTTTTCTCTTTTGTTAACAAAGGGAAATTCCTCTAATATAAAGAGGTCATTTGTTTAGACTCCAAAAGCATAAGACTTGGGAGACCACAGAGACCAAGAACCCACAATGTGAGCACTACCATCCCTTCAAGAACCCACAATGTGAGCACTACCATCCCTTCAAGAACCCACAATGTGAGCACTACCATCCCTTCAAGAACCCACAATGTGAGCACTACCATCCCTTCAGGATTCAATACCTCTAGGTTCTTATGTGTGGATAGTGAGGCATAATTGGAACATGACTGAAACGAAGGACAGTTAGTAGTAGTATTATGATTTAGTAGCTTGCTTGAGCATTTCTGTCCTATGTGAAAATACAGAATAGTTCCTACATATAGGCAAACTTCTGACACTGAGATCGGAGGTCAGTTGACAGTGACTGCTCCTCGGTTAGCATCGCTCTTCACCAGAAACACATTACAAGGGCATGTTACATGGCGTGAAGCAAATGGGGCACAAGGAAGGTCCACTTGCCTCTTTGATCAGGTTCATAAATCTGGGTCCAAGGCGCCATGGCTTGTGTCGATGGCACTGCAGGGAGCTGACCGTCAGCTGTGAGGCGCGATGGGAGGCAATGGCCACCATGTACACAGCATCATACATGAGAGCTGCTTCAGTCTGTGGAGAACAACATGGACCGTGCCATCAGTTCCGTCTTCATTACCTCCCTCCGCCCGCGCAATTGCCGTCCCTCCCTTGCTATTTGTCTGACCTTACAGGCATTTTCTTCTTTAGCTAAACAGTTTTCCGTCACTGATAGCTATTTTCCTGCAAAAGAAAACTTTACATCCCAGAGTAAATTAGAATCCTGCATTTGGTTTTGAGTTATTAAAAACAAAATAAAAACTCAGATCAATTACAAAAGACTTTATTCCAGAAACATATTTTGGAGTATCTTCTAAGTTGAGCTCAGTGTTGAAATCAACTACTTTGAGATTGAATCTACTAAGACTCATTATTTCAATGTCAGCTGTTGTCTCTCAGTAGCTTCTTCTTTCCCTCCCTCCCTCCTTCCCTCCCTCCCTCTCTCCCTCCTTCCCTCTCTCCCTCCCTTCATCCCTTCCTTCCTCCCTCTCTCTTCCTCCCTTCTTTTTTGGAGAAAACACATTCTTGCTGATAGAACCAATAGGGGATGCTATTGTTAAGGGTGCTTGTGTTGGTCACTTTCATTGGTCAGCCTTGAGGAGGAAAGTCAGATTCCTGGCATCAAATTCAATGGCAAGTTCAGAGAGGCCCTCTGAAGTTCAGGCCTGTGAGTCAGAACAAACTTGCACTTGCCCTCATGAGTTACCATGAAGGAGATTAATTCTCTTTTGGAATAGTTATCTTTTCTTTCTTTTCCTCATAAAATTCGCACTTGCTAAATTTTATATAATGCTCACAGCATTTTGTCAAATATACTGCCCTGTGGTTTTGGGGATAAAAATCTCATAATACCCTCATATTTTACTGGAGGGCTTTCTTTGCAACTTCAAATATATTAGCTCATTTGAAATTCTCAGTAATCTCCAAAGTAAGCAGAACACGTAGATAAAGTTACTTATTATATGTAAAACTGACCTCAGGCAAAATATTGATTTATGGAAGCAAATATGTATATAGCTGGAAAACTGACAAAGTTGAATCTGGAATACATGTTCTGGCAAAAAGTTTTGTATATGGTTTTCTGTAATTAGTTGATTCATCCAATATTTTCTGTTAATTATGTCTTAATGGAGGTGGAAAAAGAACATAAATGGTGGGTGAAATATCTTCCATCTCATTGGTTTTGAAGCAAGAGATTCCTTTATTCTGAACCCCTATTATTCTGTACAGTCTCTGTCATTGAAATGTTAAGTTATTTTTAATATTTGATTTAAAACCATGTGATATTTTTAAAGAGCAGAAACTATTCCAATTCAGCCTGTAGTACCTAAGCACAATTCATGATATAAAAACACAGTATAGTAAACATTTACAGAATGAGTTATTAGTGATTCATATATTAAAACAAAATGTATTCTTGTAAGAATTACATAATACCAAGATTTAACATAAATCATTTTACTTATATACTTGACACAGGGAAGTTAGGTTGATGGCATTAGCAGTGATAATTGCTAAGCTTAATTTTTTTATTAATTCAGGACTTATATAATCCACTTCGTTTATGACAAAACTGAGTCTTGTGGAGATTAGCTGGTACATACCTACTCTTGCTTATCACTTCCAGGGACAGTGGTTAGGCTCTACCTACCTTAATCTCACACCCATGTTCCTTATCATTCTGCTCTCCTTATTTGGTTTAATTGGAAGAAAGTGAGTTATTGGCAGGTTGATTTGTAAAATGGAATCAGTATTAACAGTGGACATTTACTGAGCACTAATTATACATCTGGCCCTGTTCAGAATCCTTGGGAAACATTGAACTTTTGTTCTTTATCCCTTTTACTTCTTTATGGAAAGAAAATTAAGAGATTAAATGGTGTCTATAAACTAATAGTGAGAAAGTCAATATTCAAATCCTTAAAGTTGGTGGTATATGCTATGGTCCCATCTTGTTCAGTTGCTTAGTGATAGCAGGGTAGCTTGATAAAAGCTAAAATCTGTTGTCCATATATTACATGCCAGTACCACAAGCATCTTGTTTATGCAGGGCATGTCCTTCAATTGTGAAACTTTAAAAAATTAGCTTATCTATTCTTTGATAATTTCATGCATACATACAATGCATTTTGGTCATATCCACCCCATTAACCTCTTTGGATTCATCCAGGCTTTCCCATCTCCCCATCTCAATTTCACAAACTTACGTTCCATTTTTACAACCGACTGAGTCTAGCTAATAATGTACATATGATCATGGGAGCATAGGCAACCTATGATGGGCCACACACCTGACGAAAAATGCCCCCCCAACTAGTATCCATAAACTGTCGACAGCTCCTCAGATAAGCGTGAAGCCTCAAAACCCTTTCATGTTGGAAGACCAGCTGGCTCGCTCTTGTACAAGTATGGTTTGTATAGCTACAATTGCTGTGAATTCATGAGTTCAATAATAGCCCAGTCATGTCCAAGAGACACTAATTCACATTCCTCTTTCCCCACCTCTGACTCGTATATGCATCTTGAAAGCTTGGGTAAAATGCACCCAAGAAAATCTTTTCACAAAACATAAGCATACTGAAAGATTCTCCTGGCAAATATATAATGTTTTGTTTATTAGAACAGTTTGCTGTAAGGGGTTAACCCAGGGGGTTTGGGGTGCTTAAGTTCTGCATATTCCTAAAGGAATCCTGGCCCATGACTGGTTGGTGGCAAAATATCTTGAGCTAAATTTCTTGAAAAGGATATGTTTGTATTTCTAGAGTGTGGGGCATGCAATATTTATGCTAAAAATGTGACAGTGGCAAATGTCACCTTTTGTTCCGAAGTGCTGGGCTATGCTGTACCAACTGAGGCCTGGAAGGGCTGGAGACTAAGGTCAATTATTTGGGTGCTCTGTGTGTTTGGGTGGGTTTCCTTGTTGGAAGCTTTTCACAGGTATAATCACACATCATTGCTGTGTGTCAAGCATTTTCTTGGGAGCTTCAATGGTATAAAACCCCTGTAAACCCAAGCATATTAGGGCTCTACCCTGAGTGAAAATTTCCTTTGCTGATTTTACATTTATTTTTTTCCTGTGATAAGCTGTTACTGAAAATAAGACAGCTCTGTATTCTTTGTGTAAATAATGAGGTAATTAGGACATGGTGGTAACTGACCACACAAACGAGTGAGATGTCCTATCACCTCGCAGACAAGGACAATTGGAATGCCATATCCCCAGTGGGGATGCTGTGAATAAAACCAGTCTTTAGGGAACAAATGGGCAAGAGGCATAGGTTTCTCATTACTCTGTAAATTCGCTAGCAGTTGTAGGTAAGGAAGGGATTGGGAAAGTTGTCCGTGGGAACTCTGTTGAGGGTGCACGCTGGTGGAAGCGAGGCTGCCACTGGGGAACCCCGCCACTGGGGAAATCCCAAGTACTGGAGGAAACATTGCCTATTTACATCAACAATGAGCATACAGCAGGTAGAATGCCCTGTTGGTGGTGAGATTTGGGAATGCATTTGGGAAGGTGGCAAAACTTTAGCACAAGCAGTCTAAAAACTCTGCAGTTAGGAAAGACATCCCAGACGTCATACTGAAGGTTTGGTGGTGTGGTTACCATGACCTGAGCCCCCGTGAATGTTTTCTGGTTTTAGGTAGAGAGCAGGAGAAATTGAGGAAAGAAGCTTGTAAATAGAGCAAGTAAACACTGGAAAATGCCTTTGGTCACACTAGGTTACAAGAGTGTCAGATACTGCTTCATCTTGGGCAACCAGCATAATAAAGAATGTGTCTCATGAATAAATAAGAACATAAATAAATAATACAATAATTCTTCTGCTCTAGTTTCTCAAGTAACCAAACTTTTGATGTATTAATTAACAATTCAATTGATAAAGCACTCTTTATAATCTCAAGTTTTTTTTTTTGTTTTTTGTTTTTTGTTTTTGTCAGTGGGGTAGATTAAGGGTTGATTAGACCTTTACCTGTCAGAATGTTCTTTGTTCTTTTATTGACTAAAAACAGCAAGTGTTATCAAGTAAATTCATTCCTATACCACAGAATGTGTATGTTACCTAAAATGTTTAGTGGAATGACACTATGTTGGTACTATACAGATTATATAGATTTACAGAGCAGCAAATAGACGTAGAGAGGCCACTTTCTTTGAGGACATAGCCAGTACCTAAACCCTGGTTTCCTTTGTCAAGATAAAGTTGCCTTTTCTACTAATTCATAGGAGTGTCTATGAAGATGTGGCTATCCGAAGATGCCTTTCCCATGGACCACAGTTACAGAACTATTAGATGTAAGAGAGTAGGATGATGCTCCCAACTCTGCCTCACACTAGGAGTGCATTTAGAAGCCAGGAAGGAAAATGACAAGTAGGGCTCTGTGGCTTCTGTTTCCTTGACATTACCGAATCACACACCATGCTTGTGTTTGAATGATGAGTGTTCCCCTAGGCTCAGGTGTTTGCATATCTGCTCCACAGCTGGTGGTGCTGTCCACTCTCTTTGCTTGATGATTGCAGTTGAAGATGTGATGTCTCCCCTGATTTCCTGGTCCAGCAATCTGTTGCTGCCCCTCCCCACCTTTATTGACTATCCCTCTGAAATTGTAATCACTGTCTCCCTTAAGTTGCCCATGGTTGTTGTGATTTATCAGAACATTAACTAACACATGTTATCAGGGGCTACACTCAGAGAAATTTTATTATGAATGTGTGCCATTCCATCTCACCATCAATACAAAACCTTATTGCTTGAATGAGCCTGTAGTACTGGGGGGGGGGAATTTAAAAAGCAAAAAGAAACAAAGTAGTCTTTACAAAAACCATTCTAGACTTTAGATATGCTAATCAACACTCCAGTTGGAAAAAAACACTCAAAAAATGTTGAGATGCTTCTGAATTGTGCATCTCACAGTTTTGAACTGAGCCAAGCAATGGTTTTCTTAACTCACTTCTTAAAGCAGGATTTTATTTCTTAATTAAAACTGTTTAAAAATCTAGATTCAAATAAATTGACTTTGGGTGTGATCGACTT